CAGTACGGGAACATAATTGTTGTTGTCCTCATAAATATTTGAATAGAATGAAAAAGAAAATCTTTTCTATATCATTTCGATCTCAATTGTTATTTATGCTCATGGTTAAAACTGTTTGGTGAGCCGAGAAAATGAGACTTTTTTAATCTCCTTAGGGAAAACGATTTTGGATACTATTTTTAAAGCAAGACGACTTCTTCTACGAGCCTCTTCATCTCGTTCATTTACATGTTGTTTTGCTCTTATCTTAGGAATGATTTTAATCAATTGGTAGCTGAAGAATACGTTAAATTATTCGATTTTCAAGGTGATACCCTCGATCGTGCATTGAGAAAATTTGTTAAACAATTTACAATCATTGGTGAAGCACAAGACCGTGAACGTGTTCTACATTTCTTCGCTGCACGATATCTAGATTGTAATCCAACAACGTTCACTTCCATCGGTTCGTTCGATGGCATGTTCTTTGAAATGATAAGCATCATTATTTCATTTAGACGCTTGTCATATGCTTACGTGTGCAATTATGTTGCTCAACACAGATCTTCATGATCCAGTAAGTTTAATTCAAGGTCAACTTATTCGGTCAGAATTTCGACTTCGAAGACAACGACGGCAATCATCCGTCTTTCGCCGTTCTCTCCTAATGATGCATATTTGTTTATATGATTCAATGTTCATTGCTATGCATCATTTCAATTTCGTCTATGTTATGATTATGACTTGTTTTTCTTCCTTTCTCTCATTTAGAAAATCACGAACAAAATGACATTTCAACAGTTCAGTGATAATCTGCACGAATTAAACGATGGAAAAGATTTTTCCAAAGATTTACTCAAATCATTGTATAATGCCATTAAAAATGAACAACTTATGAATGAGACGTAAGTATAAACTAATGATTGAATTAATCGATTTGATTGAGGAAAAAACTCGTTGGAACATCGCTCCGAGGACATTTCTTCGAGCAATTGATTGAATCTTATTCTAAGGACATCGT